GATCTAGCAGTCTGACTGGATAGCCATTTCGTTACCTTTCCATTATCCAGTCAGTCACAGCTTTTTCATTAGATGCTTTCATGTGTTTACTGGGACGAAAGATTTGATTTTCTCTCCAGCAGTTCGCACGTGTTGGCACCGAAGCTGCTTCGGCCGGTTAGTTTCAGCAATGCGACTTTGCCAAAAACGGCTCAGGAGATACGGAAAACAAAGCGGTGAACAACTTTTTAGCAAGTTTTCCTTCCTGTGTAGATTATGATAAGAAACGTGGGGTTTAATTTCCGTCTTTTATTAGATGCAAAATGTCTTAAGGTGCAGAAATAATAGCTGGGATGTTTGCCCCCAGCATGTGGCAGAGATACAGAGACCCTGCAGGTATTGTTTAATGATTTAACATGATTTAATAGTTTGTGTGTAATAAAGGCAAAGTTGACACACTGCTGTGCTCCCACAGTGTTTTATTAATAACTACCATGCTGTGTTGTCATGTATAATATGTTTACAATACATTAGGTTTTTGTCCTAAGTCACCACCTCACTAGTCTCCCTCTCCTTGTTGCTGTTCTTAGGCTGGGCTGAGACAGTATAAATAAACACAAGAATAGAAAGGAAATGAATAGATGTGACCCAACAGAGACAGGTTTACACAAGTGATCTGATCAAATTAGCTTTAAAAGGTTCACTTGTCCCACACTTAGATTAAATTAAAGCAAGCAAACAATACATTTTTCATTTATAAGATTCTTTTATTCTGTTATTATTATTATTTTTTAATAGAAAAGCAAAAAATGTCTTTATATACACATTGATGGACAGAAGTTTCATGGAATGTCATAGTAATTTTTGAGCTTTAATGATTTCTGTGGGTGGAATGATTGCACGCACACATCTTTAATGAATTTAAAAAACAAGCACTGGGTGCTCCAGTCTGAACTTATTTTAGATTTTTTTTCTAATCCACACAGGGTCAAAAGCCTTCTGGCTGGATATTTGACCCCTCTTCTTGGCAGAATTGGTAGCATTAGCTTAAATTGGTTGGTTTTCTGGCACAGACCTGGGTTTAAAGCACGGTACACAAAATGTCAATATAGATGGTGTTGAGGATTTGGGATGTTCATTCCAGAAGGTTAATCTTAGCCTACTTCATCCACTCAAAAAACAGATTTTATCTGTTTTTCTTTTGTCTTGTGTTTGGTCAGTAGTCAATGGTAACTTTATTGTCCCCAGTGGGAAATTGATTTGCAGTCTGTTCATACAGAGAGACGAAAACAAAGAAACACAACACAAAGCCCAGAGAAAACAGACCAAATTTTTCATAAAAAAAATGCAAATGTGCAATGGCAACAACCCTTATGGTTTAGTATTATTAACCTTGATTATAGCAGCAGGTACAAAAGGCACGCTATGTCTCTTAGACTTCAACGGAGGCACTTTATACCCACGACCACAGGGAAGCAGCTGAAAATCATTAAAGAGAGGATGGTCTGAGCATAACATGACAGAGGTGGCCTTCCTCAGCACCTGCCTGTTATAAAAGTCCACAAGTTGGACCTGAGACCTCCCTGAAATCTGACCAGCCACTTTAACCAGATTGCTACGTCTGGCCTTATTGTTAAAAGACATATTACCATACCAAGCAATGATGCAGAACAAATAAAACAGATTCAATAAAACTTTTATTTAAAAAAAAAGGGTCATTATTTCAGAAGAAACGTTAAAACCCAATCTCCTTAAAAAGTAGTCTTTGTTGAACCTTTTTCACTGTAGCAGCAAGATGTGGCTCAAAGAGTCTTATCAAGAACAACCCCCAAATACTTATAACTGTCCACCAGTTCAATGGCTGCACCATTTACCACTGTTAGTGCAGGATGGGAGGATGACTTCCTGAAGTCAATAACCATGTCCTTGGTTTTCAAGGTGTTGATCATTAAAATGACTGATCACACCAAGAAGCAAACTCATCCACAACAGGCCCATGGGAATCCTCTTCACCATGAAGGAGGCTTACCATGACTGTGTCATCGGCATCTGTAATGAGATGCCTGTTAGCCTGTGTACTGCGACATTCATTACTGTACAAAATATATAGTAAAGTGGAGAGGCAGCAACCCAGTGGTGAAGCAGTAGAAGAGTTCAGCTGTTTGGAAAAACAGCCGTTTACTCTCACACACTGAGACCTGTCAGCTAAAAAGTCTAAAATCCAGCCAACAAGCTTAAAATCAAGTTTAGACTGGTTAAGAAGTTCATCAGCTAAGCTATGTGTCTAAGTCCTAACTAAGTCCAGTTTTTATCATTTAAGGCGACTGGCAAGAGTAAAATCTTTTCTTTCGAGGCAGCACCTTGAAACAGTGAGCCATGCTTTTATTTCTTCCTGCCTGGACGACTGTAACTCACTTTATGTGGGGGTCAGTCAGTCATTGCTCTCATTGCTGGTTCAAAATGCGGCTGCACGACTCCTAACAGGAACTCGAAAAAGAGAGCATATAACCCCCGTGCTAGCCTCTCTGCACTGGCTGCCTGTGTCTTTTAGAGTTAATTTTAAAATTCTTATGTTTGTTTTTAAATGCCTTCACAGTCTTGCCCCGCCTTACCTCTCTGAGCTTCTTCATCCCCACACACCCTGTTGGTCTCTCAGGTCAGCTGACCAGCTGCTCCTGGAGGTACCGAGATCCAGGAGGAAGCTCAGAGGGGACAGGGCCTTCTCTATTGTGGCTCCAAAGTTATGGAATAATTTGCCCATGCATGTTAGAGAGGCCCCTTCACTGTCCACTTTTAAATCACATCTTAAAACCCACTTTTATTCCTTGGCTTTTAACCTCAGTGAGACTTCGTTTCTCTTTTAATTGAAGTAGTTATTTAATTAATGATTCCACTCTTCTTTTATTTGTTTTTTACTTATATCTCATGTAATTTTATTTTACAGTTCCACAGCACTTTGTGTCAGCTGTGGTTATTTTAAAGTGCTTTATAAATAAAGTTGATGATGATGATGATGTGGCTGGATAGTATTAAAAGCTGAAGAAAAAACAATAAATGAGAGTTGAGCATGACGCTTTGGCACCATCAAGATGGCAATATAGGAAATTTAACAGAGTGACCACTGCATCATCAGCACCCCTACACGGCCTGTATGCAAATTGTAGTGGGCCGATAAGCTTTTCTACCTGCTGCAGGATCTCCTTCCTGATAATTTATTCAAAAGACTTCATCACTAAAGATGTTTTTTCCATACCTCGGGAAACCTTTTGTTGCTGAAGTGATAAAAGAAAGATATAAGAAAAAACACTGCAGAGTTGCTCAGCACATGTTTTAAGCACCTGGCCACATATTTGTTTTTGTTTTGTTTTTTCTAAATCATTGTTCTGCTTGAGACGTAATATGCTAGTACAACTGTGTTTACATACCTCTGTCTACCAATATACCTCTTGTCGTTGTGGCCAGGCGGCTCAAACTTTCTTTTGTCTGACCACAAAACTTTTCTCCAGAAGGCATTTGGCTTGTCCATGTGGGCAGCTGTAAATTTCAGTCAAACTTTAAAGTGTTGCAAAAAAGTTACAGATACAAATTCTTGAAATGCTGAACTGATCATCTTGGAATTTCCAGTTGTTTACAAAATGGCTCCAAGAGACATTCCTAACCTGTGTAAATCTGCAAATCTTAATCTAAGTTCCTTGAATTTTCCCATTGTTCTGAGTGTCAGTCAGTCCAGTGATTGCTGTTAATTAGTGCTGTTGTGCTGAACAATGAAGCAACCACTTGTAGTCAGTAATGATCACTAATAAGAAGTTAATACGCCTTAAAAAGTTAAAAGACTCTGCAGAACCCTCAGCATCACTGAAAGATTTAAGTGAGTATATATTTGAGTCTGTATGTATAACTCTGTACATTAGAGAATTCCAAAATAAATTCAAAATTGTTAATTGAAACTACAACTACAACGGGGTTTTTTTTTTCAGAAATATAAATGAATCCATAAATATTTATATATCATTCAACTGATATGTTCATTCATTTATTTTAATTATTTCTGAACATTTATTTATTTATCAATACATTTTTTTCCTGCCTCCTTTTTGGCGCAGGGCGTTTTTTGACACTCGCCAACTGTTCACGTGTGGCTGATGAGTGCTTGATTGATTTGTCTGCCCCTGTTTTCGGCCAGTTGTTTTTCTGCTTGTGAAAGAGTGTCATGCTTTAGAGAGCACTGTGTTTGTATTCACAGTGTGAGTCTCCAAAATCCCTGCTGTGCCTGAAGAAGAGCCGATTGATCAAAGAGTTACTGTGGAGCACAGCTGTATGCCCACTTTGTCTCTGTCTTTTATATTTAATTTGAAAGAAATTGAATTATCATCAGTCTGCTCTCAATAAATCATAAAAAAGAGAGGACGTGTTTTTAGAAATGATTGTAATAGTTTTCAGTTTGCTGCAGTCATGTGGGCCATGTTTGCTTCAGTTGTCCTACTTCTTAATTAACATACTTTAAAAAGACAAAGGCATTGCTTAAATCTACAAAACAAAAAGTAAAAGCTTCCTGAGTTCTTTATGAATCTTGTGCACATTTCATTTCTACAAATGTTTCTTTAACCTGTTTCTTAACCTGGATGATAGTTAGCATACTGTAATCATCAATGATTTTTGCACCACAGCTGCCATTTCTTATTGTGTGTCATACATACAAGTTTAAAACAATGAAGGTCACTGTATATACAGGTGTTCATTGTGAGCAAAATTTCAGGTTTCAGACACTCAGGTTCAGTTTTTTTCTACTCTTGGCCTTGTATGATATCACAGGCACAAATGTGGCCAAATATTTCAAACTGACAGACAGCCAGTCAAATGAATGTTAGGTCAAAGGGAGGATGACCTTAAAGAGGAAGTAGCTGAAATGGCTTGTAACAGACAGAATGAATTAAACTGAGGGGCTTGAGGAAGAAAGATGTGGTGAGCAGACTATAATTTCATCATACTTCCTCTAACTCCACCCATGTGTGACTCCACAGAGGCGACTGGTGGCACCACGACAAGGCCTCACATCTACTTCTGCCGCTCGCCAAACATGGAGGACTTCACCTGCTGGTGGCATCCACTCAGCAACCTGACAGACGGAGAGGAAGTCACCCACATCCTCACCTACTCCAAAGAGTATGAACTCCACATCTCACAGTTAACTAGGACTAAAATAAACAGTAGATAGGTGTTGACTGGTGGCCTTAGTGCATATGTTTGAGACTGAGGGACTAAAAGGCTTTAAAAATTGTAATCAAATTGTTTCAAATTTCATCAATGCTTTACACTAACCCACATATTGTGTTATAAAACCTTATAAAACATCCACCCTAACAAACAATAAGAGCCTTGTTTTAGCCTTGTGAAACTATAAAAGAAGCCCCAGATCAGCAGCACACTGGGTCAGTTTCTGGGTCAGGTGAGTTTGTGCAGTTTGATTTCTCGTGCTTCGCGTCACCGGGAAGCTTTTAAGAAGGTCAATATTTCCAAGCTGCTCTGAAATCCTGAACGCAGACTCACGTGGCCTCAAACAGATGCCAGCTGGCCCAGATGGCAGCCACAGCAAAGAAAACGCTGCCACTAATCAGGACAAATTGGATTGTGCTTTTGACCACCACGTGGCTTCAGAGCTCCAACTGATTGTTGTTTCATCTCCTGCTGCACTTTGTATGTTTGTTTGGGAAAACAAATGTAGATCAGGGATTATCTGATAAAAAAAAAAAGACAAAATCTTACTAAACACCAAAGCAGCTAGGAATAAAGTCACAGCTCAGAGAGGGAGATTACACTCTGCAGGCACACCTCAGTGCTGTTTGTGTTTTAATATATTAAACTGCCATTACACACTTTTTATTTACATGAAATACCCTCACTAGGACTGAATACAAACATGCTAATAAGGTTAAACATAAGCTTGTGATTATCCTCCATATAGAAAAGTTTCAAAACTTAAAGACAAGTTCCTTAAAATATTACAGTTAAGATCAATTTGAGGCATTAGCCTAACGTTGAACCTGATTTGGGGCTTTGATTTGGCCATTTCTTTATAATGGTTTTAACCTGGTTTTAAGCTGGTTTCAGATGTTGGGACTACTAGGTCAGGACTGGATTCAGTTTTGGTTTGGGGCTTGATCGAGAACTTTCCCCAGAATTTGTGTGTCTCCATGTCCATCTCCATCTCCATGTGTTAACCTCAGGTCCTCAGGAGTGAGACCATCTGTTGTGGGATACCTTGTTTTTCTTTTGGCTGAAAACAGTTCTTCAGCCCTCTGGTTGGATGTTTGGCTTCATGATGGCTACAATAAGTGTGATAAATTATTGCAAACCTGCTTGGAAATTAGACAAAATTAGACTGTTAAAAAAGCCAAAAAGAAAAGAAATCCCAAGTATAGTTTAAAAAGATGTCCAGTGTTAATTTACTGATTTCCCTTTTGTTTGTTAGTGTTTATCTAAATGTGTTTTTTCTTTGATTTTGTGAAGGAAGGAAGCCAAACTGGAATGTCCAGACTATGTGACTGGCGGCCCCAACAGCTGCCACTTTGACAGCAGCCACACATCTATATGGATGGTGTACTGTTTGACCGTGACCGCCATAACCACCCACAGAAACTACACCTCCAAGCAGCACTGCCTGGACGTGGCGGAAATAGGTAAGGGGTCGGATCTGGGTTAAAAATGCTGATTCAAACTAATTATATGACTCCATTACACAGAAGTTCAGTTTTTTTGTTTCTTTTTGTTTTGATTTGGTTTGTTTGTTATTCGGCGAACAACAAAACTGTTCTGTTAAATGGAATTTGATTCCATTGGAAATGGATTTTGGCACAGATTTCTCCTTGCGACCTCTTATTTACTGACTAACATTGAGAATAAAGTGATACAAGAAAACAGACGAAAACAGAGCGAGTTTCAATGCTTCAAAATTCATGTCTGAGTATTGATAAACCCATTTTTTTTGTGGTCAAATCAGCAGCGAAATAAAGGGCAAAAGTGAGATGACTTTATTGTCTGCAGGCTTTAATTCATTTTACCTCCTGGAAAACTTAAAAGATTGCATAAATAAGATAATTCACAGCAAGTTCACGGAAAGGAGAACTTGTTCTAATCTCAAACTCGATATAAATCAGAAACAGAAAAACATTTGTACACGAAGAGCCAAAGGACTTTGGACTGGAAATCAGTAGGTTTTTAACTTTTCCTCACTGTTATCATAATTGAGCTGTAATTTTATGTGTATCTGGTAAAAAGCCACCAAATGTGTTATTAGTATAAGCAGCTCAATATGACCTTTATTCAATAACAGGTTTTGTCCTTGCTCAAAATTAGCCCTAACTAAGTACAGCTGTAAATTTGACCTCTTTATCATTACATCACACCATTCATTAAAAAAAATTAACACTCAAGGACAGAGGAGGATCTTTAGGCTCATCTTCAAGTTCATAAAAAGACAAAGAGAACTTGACAGTTGACAGAGCTGCCAGTTTGCCGAGAACTAGGAGTTAATAACAACTGTAATAGTCACTGTGATGGCGTGAATAATTACCCACCTACTTCATCTGGATTGGATTAATCCTGAACCTAAATAGAGGATAATAGGGGGATGTGAGGTGTGCGCTATGAAGGGAGATTAAAGGAAGCGTTGTGGCTATCTGGCTGAATCACCATGGTACTTACCCTCAACACATAACCTCGTCTGGACAGGTCGTGTTTTTGATTTAAAATTGTCTTGTAACAAGTACCGTCTGCTGAGGGAATACCTTTTCCACATAAACTGTATATAACAGATGGACACAGCCACAGTGATGTCACACATTGGTTTGTATGTAAGTGTTTTGGCTATGCTTTTTTTGTAACCTAGAGGGACCATGTTTGGATGACAGGTCAGAATGCTGTGTTGTCAACATTTGGCTCTTTTGGCACTTTCCATTTGTACTTTTGCAGAACACACTGTCTGCTGTCTCCTCACAACTTACATACATTTAAATTCCTGAATCAGAAAATACATTACCAATTGGCTTGGCTCTTAATTCCATTTTTAGCTGGAATGGCAACAAATCAAGCAGATTAGAAAGCTGTTCATTCTATTACAGAGCCTATTCAATTTGGGAAAACAAATTTTACTTTGCTTTGGTCCAAAGCTAAAGTGATTTCCTCGTCTCCTTCATTATGGCACAGTGCCATACCTGAATGCGCTTCTTCAGCTCTATTTAAATGGATCTAGTTTAACATTTAACATCTTTAATGAGCAGCTGTCAGTTTGGAAAGAAACAGCAGCATTGAGAGCAGATTGAGTGGCAAAATAAATGTTTTCACTTATGAATTCACAAGATTAATGGTTTTCTCCCAGCACTGCTCTCTTGACTTATTTTCAGAGCCTGTTGCTTTCTGCCAGAATATGTTTTAAGGCTTAATAACCTCTACTCACATCCCGTTGCCCTGTTCCACTGACTCACCGTCCCGACTGACATGATTGCTGACTTCTTGGCTAAATTGGATTTATTCTGTTAATGGCAGGAAAAAGTAACACTTAAGCACAAGTCTACAAAGCAAATGGAAATCTAGTTGTGTGAAAAAAGGGGAATGTAATTATATGTCTCCACATGAGGTAGATAAATCAGGGTTCCCATGCATTCTTAAGAAGTTTTAAAAAGTATGAAATTTGATTTCACATAAAATGTCTTTACTTCTGAAAGGCCTTTTTAGTTTTTAAAAGGTATTTATGACAGAAACAAATCATAGTACTTAATCAAATATACAGTCATGGTCAAATAAAATTTCACCCTTTTTAAATTCAAATATTTTACATTTCATCAGCAAGTGTGAGCACCTCTATAAAAGTTTTGGGAGTTTGCTAGTCAGGAACATTCAGGTGTGCGGTAACTCAATGCCAAGAAGGAAAGACATCAGCAATGGTCTTAGAGAAGCAACCTGCCTATCGCTTACTGAAGCGTTGTAAGATAATACATAACAATAATAATGGTAAATGGCCTGCATTTGTATAGCGCTTTTCTAGTCCCTTTCTAGTCCAAAGCGCTTCACACTACATTCACCCATTCACACACACATTCACACACTGGCAAGCTACATTGTAGCCACAGCTGCCCTGGGGCGCACTGACAGAGGCGAGGCTGCCGGACACTGGCGCCACCGGGCCCTCTGACCACCACCAGTAGGCACACATGGGGTTAGTATCTTGCCCAAGGATACATGCAGCCAGGAGGCAGCCTGGGATCGAACCACCGACCTTCTGATTAGTGGCTGACCTGCTCTGCCACCTGAGCTACAGCATAGCTGCCACATCAGAATCGCCCCATTTCCTAATTTCAGAGAGTCTTCTTTATACCTACACAAATATACGAACAGTGCTAATTTGACCATTTCAAAATCTATTATTGCTTATCATGTTTACCATAATAATATAAGATAACAATAAAGTTAATAAATAAATAATAAATAGTTATTATTTATTAATAAATAAAACCAGCCTCAGAATCTCTCAGTATGCTCAGTCTGAACTGAAGTAATTTAGCTGTGGAGCATTTCAAGGTTAACCATGTGAGTGAGCTCCTGATGTAATTAGAATCTTGTTTCACTTCATATTGAGTCTATTAGCAGCCATTCATTCTTACTTAAATATAAGATTCACAAGGTCATTCCTTAATTGAGGGAAGTTTTTTAAAGGCCTCAGACCCTGCTTATATTGAGATTCTGCGTGTAATGACCAGCTGCTAATCTCATTTACTGGGGACTGAGTGTCTGTTATTATCCAGATGCTGCATATTTGGACCAGAGCAGTCCACTTTCTGAGCTGGTTTTGAGGGGTTGCAGATCGGAGGTCTGCTTGGCATCATTATCATTGAACACGTGCGTGAAGCAGCGTCCTGTGACCAGCAGTGTAGTGCTCTTTTTTTTGTGTGCCTCAGATGTCAGGGGAGGTCAGAGACGTCGCTCTTATCACAGCCATGCAGGAGATTCAGCTAACAGCTGCAGATAGGCGTTTTCACTGGAATTGAATTAAAGGTTACAGTTTCAGTGTTAGAAACGAATTATTCTCATGACTCATTACTGAAATGTTGCACACCTAAGAAGAAGCAAACACACCTTAGATGAATCAGTCAGAGGGTGAATTTCCCTCTGACAAATACCCTTTGATGTCGAATTTCAATTAGCGTTTTAATGAGAACACTCCAATACATTTTCACGACTCACTACATAGTGAGTTTGACATTTTTTAATGTTAAAATATAGAGAGTGTAGTGTTTATATTATATCCCTGTACAGTACTCTCAAAGCCTCCCAATATGCTTCAAGTTCAAGTTCAAGGTTCTTTATTTGTCACATGCATAGTTATACAAGTATAACACACAGTGAAATGTAGCCTGACACGCACCTCGACATGTGCAAAAATGGGGGGGGAGGGGGGGTAGAGGAAGAACATTATATATATATATATAGTATATACATTGGGTGAATGTGCAGTAGTAGCAGCAAGCAGGTGAATTCTGTACATTAATATGAATAGA